GATATGGCTCAGTAGAATAAGCGCTTGCCTGGCAAACATAAGGGCCTGAGTTCAACCCCTGGTTCTGCAAAATAAATAAATAATAAATAAATTCTTACATTTCTAGTGGTTGGGAATACAACATCAAGGTGTTTTCAGCCATGGTGTCTTGTGAGGGCCCAGTTCTTGGCTCACATACATCTGTGGTTTCAGATGTTACAATGAAATGTGATATATTCACTCACATTTTATTTCCCTCTTTGTAATGTACCTCCTCCCCAGCACCAGAAATTGAACTCAGGTGCATTCTACCATTGAGGTACATCTTCACACCTTTTAAAAACTTTTGAGAGGTCTTGCTAAGTTGCCCAGGCTATATTCCAACTTGCAACCCTCCTGTCAGCCTCTTGGGTATCTGGAATTTCTTTTGTAAGTGTGCTTTTCCAACCTTGAGAGCTCCATTCTCATACCTTAAGCACCTTCCAAAGATTCTCACCTCCTCATATTGTTACTGTGGATGTTAGTACTAAACTTAAAGGCTCAAGAACAACCTTGCCATGTATGGTGGTGCGCACCTGTAGTTCCAGCACTTGGGAGGCTGAGGTAGGATGATGGCTAAGAGTTTGAGGTCAGCATGCATTAGACAGTGAGCCTCTGTCTCATATTAAAAAGGTAGGAAAGAGGAGAGGAAGGGAGGGAAAGAGGGAAGAAGGAAGAATGGAAAGAAGAAAAAAAGAAAAGGAACAGAGGAAAGGATAGATAAAAGACTGATCTTTGGCTCAATGCTGTGTTCTCAGGGCCCACTAAAGTGACAGTACCACCTTCAGAACACACTGGGGTGGCAGCCTTGCTCAGAGGCACCCCCCCAACACACATAGGGGTTCTCTGCAGTGGCCCCACCTCAACAATAGTTTTATACCTCTGCCATGAACCCAAGGTTTCACTGGAATCAAGCAGTTAATTCTCTCTGGGGCTATGGGGAGAGTCCCACTCCCCTGCAGCATATGCTCATGAGTCCTGTGGTGGCTCATCCTTGTAGCAACTCTTTTGTCTGGTCTACATGGTCCCTGCTGCACTCACTAAATTCTAGGTGACGACAGCTACACACTCACAGCTTTTCACTCTAAGCTTGTGATGAGACAGTTCCAGTGATCTCCAAAATCCTTTTGGGGTCATTCTTCCTTGCCTTGGAAAATATGCTCTGGCTTCTGTTTATATATGGCTGGCGGATCCTGCTCTCTTGATAAATGGCATCTGGTTTTCCCTGATCCACATCAATCCCCTCATCAAAGGGTAACTTGGCCACCCAGCCCAAAGAGGCCTCATTTTTTCCAATATAGATATGTGATGTCAGGTTACTGATTTCAGCTCTCTTCCACTTGTGTAATATCTTTGTTGAGTAATTGATCATTATAAAACATGTTGGTTCATTTCCACTTTTTTTTTTTTTTTTTCTTTTCTGAGACAGGGTTTCACTACATAGTTCAGGCTGGCTTTCAACTCACTTTGTAGCCCAGGCTGGCCTTCAAATCCCAGTGATCCTCCTGCCTCAGCCCCTTAAGTGATGGCATTATAGACATGCACCACTAAACCTGGCCCTGGCAGTTTTTACTGTATGCATTTTGGTGGTTTTTTGTTAGACACATACATGTTTACAGTTGTTATATCTTGGTGAATGACATTTGCCAATGTATACTGTCCTTTGTTTTTCAAAAGCAATTTTCGCCTTTCAGTCTATTTGGTCTGATGTTAGTATAGTCATTCTTTCTCTCAGTTACTGTTCATATGGAACATCTTTCTCTATATTTCCATTTTTAATTTACTTGTGTCTTGAATATAAGGAGAGTCGTCCCTAATCACAAAGATGGATCATGAATGCTAAATGCAGTTTGGCAGGTAAATTTATCAAAGCTCCAGGTCTTTCTCATATGCTTCCATTTATGCAATACAAATGACCTGCACTGACAGGGTTATGCAGTCACCCCTGGGGGGATGAGTGTAGAGAACACCAGGGCTTTAAGGAACTGTTCCCATTTGCTGCTTGTCTGGATGGTAACTACACTATGTTCAGCTTGCAGCAATCATTCAGCCAGTGGACACTTGTTTGCATGTGCTTCACAAAAAAACATTGGGAAAGCATTTTTTTTGAGACAGGGTCTCGCTATATGGTTTAGGCTGGCCTTGAGCTCACTTTGTAGCCCAGGCTGGTTTCAAACTTTAAGCAATCTTTCTACCTCAGCTTCTGAGTGCTGGGATTACAGGCATGTGCTACCTCGATCTTCTAGGAAAGCAATTCTTGAGTGGGAAATGACAGAAGGGATGGTGGAGGCAAGGGATAGCATACGTCACTCCTATGGCTCTCCCTTTTCAGAAAGCCCACATATATTCTTACATGGATGAAAAGAGACTTCTGTGGTAAGGCACTATGGACTGCTTTTTCCTGTTTTCTTTTCCTTTTTTTAAAATGTATTTGAATATTGCAGGGTCTCACTATGCAGCTTGAACTTGTAGTGATCCTCCTGTCTTCAGCCTCCCAGGTGCTGGGATTATAGGTGTGTGCCACCATGCCTGGACTTGGTGGCTGGCTCAGTGCATCTGGGGGCAGGGCTGGCAAGGCATATGGTGCTGGAGATTAAACTGTGGTCCCTGCGCTTGCCTAAGCAGGTGCTTTAGTCTGCTGAGCTATCTCGCCAGCCCCTTCTCCTGTTTTCTAAGAGGAGAAGCTCCACGTGCACAGACTTACACCGGGACTAGGCTCAAAAAGTCAGGCTCTTGGATGAATGAGAATTCAAAAGAAATTTCAACAGATAACAACTCAGCCCTTCCAGTTCCATTGTGTGAACACAGCTGAAAGGTGAGGCAACACAAAGACGAATCTGATGAGGAATATGTTCTGGGAGGCTCTGTTTGCAGAAGGAAACCCCGTGCCTCACCAGGGCCAGCAGACAGACCTCATTAATGTGTGCGATGAAGTTAAACACATCTAAAGCATCCCTAGGGGGTTGGGGTGCTTCACAGCTGCTAGTTACAGAGTTGTGTTTACTCTGTGCAAATGTGGCTTGTACACTAAGATATGTGTACTCTCTTACAGACAAATGACACTTTTATAAGAAGCTGATTTAAAATTATACTTCCCAAAAGACAAAGGCCCAGCTTCTTGACCTGTGCCTAAAAGGCCTGGGTAATGATGATGATATCAGTCTGAACCACATGACTAACAGTCATTCACTGAACACCAGGTCTATGCCAGATTATCAAGGGCTTGATGAAGCTTCAGTGACTTCTAAGAGGAACTTGTGCCTCAACTTAGAGAGAGGCTAAGTCAGTCAAGGCCAGCCAGCTACCAACTGGTGGTGATTGAACCAGTCAGTCAGTGAGTGGTCTGGCCACCAAGCCCATGCTATTGTTTTCAGTTCTAGGAACCTGCGAAGTGCTGAGGTGAAACTCTTACAGGGAGAAGGAAGACGAGAGGGAGTGGAGTCGATCCCCTCTCAGACAGGAAGTCCACACAGGCAGCCTTTCAGCATGGCTGCCTTCGTGTAGCCACCTGCTGAGGCTGTTCTCCACCCTCAACAGGGGCACTAGAGGACCCAGAACGAAAGGGGTGCAACTCAGCTTCTGGGTGCTTGTGTGAATCACTAAGCCTGAAGCTAGCCTGCAGTGGGCCTCCCACACAAAGAAAAGTAGAATGCCTCATGGGCCTGGCTGCCCCACATTGTCCTACTCTTTAGGGTCTTCTTTCAACCCAGTTCAGGAACAGCTCTCCTTTCAACCTTTTCCTGGGACTTTGGAACAATAAGCTTTTTTTCTTTTCTTTCTTTGCTTGGCTGGCCTTAATTTGTTTTAACAAATCTATTTTATTTATTTATTTATTTATTTATTTATTTATTTAGTATAGGACCTTGCTACGCAGCTCAGACTCTCAGCCTCCCCAGTGATGAGATGATGGGCATATGCCACCACACCTGGTCTCGGTGGCTGGCACGGTGCGCATGGGCCTCCAGGGCTGGCACAGCATACAGTATTGCAGATGAACCTGGGTCCTTGTGCTTGCCAGGCAGGTGCTGAGACCACAGAGCTATCTCCTTAGCCCTTGGCTGGCCTTAAACTTGAAGTGATCCTCCTGCCTGAGTCTCCCAAATGCTGGAATTACAGGTGTGCACCACCACACCTGGCTGTACTCAACTAAAACAACGAATCAAATTGAAAACAGTTTGGAAGCTGCTACTAGAGGGATAGAGAGTCAGGCATGCTGGCACACATCTGTAATCCCAGAACTTGGAGGGCTAAGGCAGGAGAATTGCTGTGAGTTACACAGCAAGACAATAAGTACACGAATAATCAATAAGTAGGGATAGGACTGTCAGCAGATGGACATTCTAAAGGAGTAAGGTCAGAAAAGGGAGGGATGCCTAGGGCAAGACCCTAGCCTGAGACACCTCTAGAGGGAAGCCCTGGGTGGGTCAGGATGTCCAGAGCTGGCCGGAGTGCACCCTGATACCTACTGTCCTATCTTCTCAGATCCCTGAGCAATCATTTCAGTATACCCCACATATCTTGGTACACATTCCTATAGTTAAACACATGTTTGTGTTGATGAACAGGTAAGCCTTGTGGCCTGAATCTATTCACGCTTGGGTTCAGACAGCAAGACTTTGGCCATCCCAGGATTCCACATTACCCACACTACTGCTTCCAAGACAGGTTAGCACAGGCCACTTGTGGTTTTTTTTGGGTGGAACCGGGGATTGAACTCAGGTCCTTGCACTTGTCAGGGAAGCGCTTATTCCACTGAGCCATCTCCCTGGCCCCCATTTGTGGTTTTAATCCATGTAAGAACAATGTATTCTGACCACCAAGCTGCTGGATACTTAGACCTGTGAGGAATTGGGGTGTGGCCCACATGTCCCCTCCCCTCACTCCTAGGATGTTTCCATCCTCAGAGGGATCCCAAGGCTGGTGCACTACTGGCACCATGGTCATCTCTATCAGGGGTCAAAGCAACCACAGAAAGCAAGCCGTGTGCTTTGTCTTTTTATTACTCTTTATTTATTGGTCCTACCAACGAGACTCTTTACCCAGGCCCACTGTTCCTATGTGTGCTGACCTTGTAGACATTCATATCATGAATCTGTCTTGAGAGTCTCAATTATTTTTCTTTTCTATTCCTTTTCCATGCTCTGCCTCATTTTCTCAGAAACTGAAGGCATCTGCTTATTATTAAAATTTTTTGTTTGGGTCTGTGTAAAGGTTCCTTGGCAGGAGAACATGCATATGACTTTTAAAATAAAGACCAACATTCTGACACTAAGGTAATGCACAGAAAAAATACAGTACGTAGACATTGCAAATAAATACCCCATACAGATGAAGTTATCTCAAATGTAACAATATTTTTTATGAATCAACACTGTAACAGAAGGTAAAAATAGGAGTCCCAACAAACAGGAGTAAGAAATGCTTATTCCAGGAAACAGAATTCTTTAATTCTTGCAATTTATATTATTATAATTTGTCCCTTTTTTTTTTTTTTTTGGAGGACAGAGGACAGTTTTTCTTCCTCCACTAGTACCAATTTGATCATCCCCATGAACCTCACTCAGCAAACAGAACAGGATGCAGACCTGGTTTGCTAAGGATCTTTAATGAGTTCTGTTTCCTGAAATTAACAGTGATTAGTTACACCAAGCAAGAGAAGATATAATATCTTGTTTTCACATTTGCAAAGAATACTATGGCTAACCCTCATCCCACACTCACATGTCAACCAACCGAGCTGGCTCTGATGCCCTCAGCTCTTCACAAATATGGTGTTCTCTTCACAAACGTGGTGTTCGTACAGCTTGCTTAGTTTGTCCTAGTAAGTCCATTTGGTTCCCAAAGCACATCAAGGTTTTGTTTGTTTTTGTTTTCTAAGCCCCTGAATTTGCAAGTAAAGAATCACTGACTAACAGAATTTTGCACAATTACTGTTTTCTTTCCCTCAATGAAGATGCCCAGGTACAGGTGTGAGGCAAGTGCCTCTTCTACCTGTTGGTCCACACTGGCCTTCAGCATTCCCAACTAGCTCTTCACTGTTCATTTTAGAGAAATGACTTTGCTGGGACACCTCCCATAACTGATGAAGGCACTACTGGCAATGATTACTAACAAAAAGGTGTTGAAATAGAACACCCTAAAAATCGACAACTGTAGAATTTTCTAAGTGTACCATAATTTGGCACAACAACCAGAGTAACAAAACAATTCCAATTTGGAATTTCACTGGTACGGTTGTATAAAATTCTGTTAATCAGTCATGCTTCACAATGTCCTAAAACCCAGAAAATTCTGGAATTTGTAGGTAATACTACTTATTCAATAATTTATCTTTTTTCAAGTGCCTGTTACTATTTTAACCAGAGCAAAGGTCAAGTTTTCTTCTTGTTACATTGAACTATTCCTAAGAATAATAATAATACAATATGAAAAACCCCAGAATTGGAATACCCTGGATTTCTTAATGAACATGGCATTTAAAATCTGTAATTTCAAACATGAACCATAATGCCGTATAATCTAAAAGGCTGCTGAACCACAGCATGGATATACTTAGCCAAGCTCCTTGCTGGGCCAAAGCCTCATCGCCAGTCTAGAGCTACTCACTATGGAGCACACAGCCCTGCCTTGTGCTGATGCCAGATCAATGCACCAGAGCTAAGACCGACAGCTACAGGATCACGAGCACAGACCACGGCATCTGAGACCATCTCTAGGAGAGAAACCGAGGAAGCAAATATAATATCAAAATATCAAAAGTGCACAGGTTGATCGGATAAAAAAGGAACATGTGTAACAAGGACACCCGTGGTGGGTGTTCCAGCGGGCTCCTAGTGAGCCTGGTAGTGGCTGGGAAGCAGGTTCTTCGGCCCTACAGAGGCCTTTCCAAGCAGCAGCTCACGGCATTCTCAGTATTAAAGCTTTTTCCCCTCCTATTAAAAACTTGGGGAATGCTATTTAGAAAAGGATTGCAGTGGTATATCCAAAACATTTCTAAGTGGACTTTTAGGTTACCCTTCCTTCCTTTGCATGGGCCACGGGAGGGGAGGGGGGGCTGCAGTGTGACAGGGCCGGGTGGTCACATCCTCCCAGCAGCTACTCTACAGCTGAAAATGGGAGAAAACAAGACAGCATTAGAAATGGGCCACCTGTTGCCTCCTGCTCACTTGACAACTAAGTTCTCACTGTGCTGGGAATGTGCGAGCCGGTTAGTTGGCAGAGACCTGCATGTATGTTAGCGGGGCCGGTGGCTCTGAGGGAACGCAAAGCCCCTTACAGGTACAAGAGAAGCTGCGTGCTGGCCTGGTGAAGAGAGAGCAAGGCAGAGGGAGGGGGCAGGCATGCAGGCAGCCATCCCCAGGATGGGTGTGTAGGGCACACCCATGTCCTATCCTATATTCCTACTGTTCTGCACCATGCACTGCCTATAGTCTGGAGAAGACCAAGTCACCTTCAGCATCAAGGAAAAGAATGGGACAGACAGCTGTGTGGGGGACAACAGGGCCCTGTGTGGTGTAACAGCATCAAGCCTCTTTCTACAAGGAGACAGATGAGCAGCTGTCAGAAGAGCAGAGGGCAGCCTTATGCCTGCTGCCCCCTGGGGAGTCAGGAGGGAAATACTGAGAAGGGTTCTGCTTCAGCACACATGAACTGAGACACCTAATGCCACAACTCCGGTGTGGATGAAGCCTCTGAGAAATAGGCAAGCCCTTGGTTGACCTTTTTCTTTTCGTTGGTACCCCCAAACTGCTAGAGAACCACCGATACCATACCAACTCTGGGAACCAGCCTTGGGCCTCAGCCATGCCCTCTCAGTATGGGCCCAGCTCTGCTACCACATGGGTGTCTGGCAATTCAGCCAAGCCTACTGGCCACTCAGACTTTAGGATGTGGTTCTCTAAGACTTGCTTCTACAAAAGGGGGGGCTTCACACTGAGGACCAAGGTCTGGCCAGGCACTTGGAACACTTTTCTCATTAAAAAAAGGAAGCCCTTAGCCTCAGGCCCTGTCAGTTTGTCATCTTACAGGCCAGCAGGCCAGCATGTAGATCTCAGAAACAAGACAATGGGGCTATTGAGCTCTGCTTTCCTGGGCTACACGCAGCTGTGTGTGAGTCTCATTTGTAGAATGCAGGAGCTCAGGACCACTCTCCTCAGGTTTGGGATAAAATTCTGCACTATTGTCCTGGATGTGACTTGTAATGAGATCCTGCACAAACTAAAACAACTCTTTTCCATATAGAACTCTGCCAGCCACAGTTGCCCACTGAGGCTTGACCTGTGATATATACTGGAACCTTCTAAAACTGTTCGCAGGTACTGATGTTAGACACATATGAGGAACATGCAACTTTCAACTCAGGTTATCCCTCTGTGGGTGCTGAGGGAGTGAGACCAGAACTCTTTCCCTAAGGTGCCCCTGGGAGACATTTTTGCACATCTGTCTTGCAACAGGGTATATAGCTCCATCCCTACCTCTGACCCCTTAAGACAGCAGCTAAAACAGGTGCTCCGGAGGGGAGTGGAGTAGGAAGTGACATAAACTCATAGGAGCGTCCTGGTGACAGTGATGCCCCATGCTGCCACTCAGCTAGAATCTTGCCCTCTGTGCATTAGTCACGTTAAGACTTGCCTAGCACCACTGTCCCACTGCTGGGTTAGTTGAGGTGAAGCGGACGTTAGCTGCAGCATGCGGCGCCCCACAGCCCTAATCACAGTAAATGCTGTGCTTCTCGCTGCAGAACACCTGGTTGGCGAGCCCGGTGCCCTCGGCCCTGTCGCTGGCACAGGCACAGGTGTGACTTACACTCGGGGTGGCTGGCTTGGCCTTAGGGGCAGCTTTGGTGCGGCCCCGCCGGGTCTGCTCGTGGTCCAGCTCGAGCAGCTCCAGCCGCTGGGTCAGCGCCAGCTTCTGCTGGATGGCCATTCGCAGCAAGGAGTTAAGTGTCTTCTTCTCATCCTCAGCAGCTGCCAGCTGCCGCTGCATCTCATCCAGCTGTGTGATGTACTCGTCACACCTGTGGGAACCAAGAGCATAAATGAAGGGCCAGGCCAGGAAGAACATCCACTCGGGACTGTACCTCCATGCAGTGCCTGGGTTGAGCCCAGGACCCAGGGAGGTTGGTTGTGGTTTCTTTTAGCAAAGGCTTCTTTAGACAAAAGCCCTGATAAGGGTTATAGGAGCCCTCAGCACCCTACGCAGCCAGCCCTGTGAGGATGGCTTATTTAGATTTTGTGTTGGTTTGGTAGAGGTTCTTTGCTTGTTCAGTTGTATTTCCTAAAGATGTCATGACACTCAGCAATTTGCCTTTTGGTGGGGGATCTCCCTATTTGAAGGTCATGAGGAAGCTTAGCACTGAGACATCACTGGCTTCTAGAATCTGAGTAAAGCAAGGCAGGACTGGTCTTGTTTGTACTGTGAACATACAACTGGTGCTCAGTAAGACTATGCTAAGCAACAGTCAGAGCCACAGAGCCACCCAGGCCTTTGCCTTCTGTGACATATCCGACCCAGCCAGGTGTGGAGCTGAGGAGGGGAATAAATGCTCTTCTGCTCCCTTTCTGGTATCCCTTTCCTACCAGTCCCACCTGTCTGGTTGGGACCTAGAAAAAATACATAAAGCTGTAGAGGTCAAGCTCAGGGCTGAGGGCAGAGTGGCCTGCCACTGAGCAATGCCTCCTCTGCCTATCATTGGCCCTGCTTTGCCTGTGCCCACACACTGTGAAACGGTCCCTTGACAGTGCCTTCTCAGAGACATGCACTGTGCCACCTACCTCACAGGTCTGAAATCCTGGCTTCATCTGAGAGATCAGATCTTTAAATAAAATGAAGTTTGAAGAGCTAGCATTTAGGGACAGTGAGATAGCTCGGTTGACTAACCGCCTGCTTAGGCAAGTGCAAGGACTAGGGTTCACTCCCTGGCACCACATGCCTCGCCAGCTCCGCCCCTAGGCACAATGAGTTGGCCACTGAGTCTAGGCATGGTGGTGCATGCCTGTAATCCCAGCTCTGGGGAGGTTGAAAACAGGAGGATCATTATGAGTCAAAGCTGTGTAGCAAGACCCTGTTTTACATAT